TCAAAGACTACAGCCTTCAGTATGGATTACACCTCAACATAAAGAAAACAAAAATCCTCACAACTGGACCAATAAGCAACATCATGATAAACAGAAAATATTGAAGTTGTTAAGAATTTCATTTCACTTGGATCCACAATCAATGCCCATGGAAGCAGCAGTCAGGAAATCAAACGATGTACTATATTGGGCAAATCTGCTGCAAAAGACCTCTCAAAAGTGTCAAAAAGCAAAGATGTCACTTTGAGGGCTAAGGTGTACCTGATCCAAGCCCTGGTATTTTCAATCACCTCATATGCATGCTAAAGCTGGACAATGAATAAGGAACACAAAAAAGAAATGATCCCCCTGAATTATGATGTTGGTGAAGAATATTGAATATACGATGGACTGCAGGAAGAATGAATAAATCTGTCTTGGAAGAAGTACAGCCAGAATGCTCCTTAGAAGCGAGGATGGTGAGACTTTGTCTCATGTGCTTTGGACACTATCTTAGGCTGGGTTCTCTAGAGAAGCAAAACCAGTAAAGGGTATAAATACATATGTATAGAGATTTATATCAAGGAAATGGCTCACGTGATTTTAGAGGCTAGAATATCCCAAGTCCATGGATCAGGATAGAGGCTTCTCCTGATTCGCATAGCCACAGGGGCTGGCGAACCCAAGATCGGCAGGTTGGAGAGCAGGGCTCTTGCTTACAGGCTGATGAATACCGAGATTGGCAGGCAAGCTGCTATTTCAAGTCCCAAGGACAAGAGGTCAGATGAATAGGAGGCAGCTGTGGGATCCAGAGTGGGCAAAAGCCAGAACCTCCACTTATATTCAGATGCAGGCCACACACCCGAGGAAACTCCCTTTCAACTGATTGGCTACTCACAGCAGATCCCATCATGGGGGTGATCACATATTAACACTGAGAATCATGGTCCAGCCAAGCCTACACACAATCTTAACCATCACAGACATGTTATCAGGAAGGACCTGTCCCTGGAGAAGGACATCATGCTTGGTAAAGTAGAGGGTCAGAGAAAAAGAGGAAGACCCTCAGCGAGATGGTTTGACACAGTGGCTGCAACAATGGGCTCAAACATAA